ACAACATTTTTAATAGGGCTGAACGATTTTGGAAAATATTCTTAATTGCAATTTTTTTTTTTACCTCAAATATTGCGATTTGATATGGAATTATTTTTCAATGTCTTCTTCTCAAGTATTTTTCAATGAACACAAGCAATAAATCAGATTCAGTTGCAAACAACTCCACTGTTTTCAGCTCTGCTGCAACTCTTGTTTCTGCATTTTTTCTGTAGCTAAATGATAGCAACTTGGCTAAAATGTGTGCGCGAGGGCGTTCTGCACCACTTATGTTAGGGGTGTAACAATATATCGATATATCAATTAAATGATTAATGATTCAATTATATCGTGGAAAAACTAAAACGTCGACATATCATCATCTTCAAAATATGCATTTATTTTGAAATTCCCAAGGCACATCTGTGTCATCATTTCCGTGCGCGGCTGGGCTCTGCAGCCGCCTCAGCAACATGGCAGATGAGGCAGAAAACACAGATAATGAAATTCACTGTCCTGCTGGATTTAAATCAACACTGGAAATATTTTGGATTCCAACAGAAGGACGGTTCAACAGACAGAACTCATGCCGTATGCAGCAGGTGCCAGTGTGAGTTAAAATACTCGGGAAACACAACAAATTTGGCCGTTCACCTGAAGAAGAAACACGGCATTGATAGCCATGTTGTTTAAGCTCAATGTCTATTTTTGTTTCTTTATAACTGAAAGGTAATCAGGGCACTTTTAAATTAACTAGTTTTAAAAAATGCACTTAAACATGAGAAATGTGAGACTATACTGAACAGGTCTTTTTTTTTTTCATTAATTAAGAAATAATGTTTTTTTATTTAAATGCCTGGTGCCTGAAATAACATAAATAAATTAACAAAAACATTTCAAATATGATTTAACCATTTTATTTCTATGTAAATGAGATGGGCATTTGATATTGCAATATATCGATCGCAGACTTGTGAATCTAATTGAATCACTTCACCACTTGCTCTCGCCGAAATCGTATGCTTCTCCCCTCCCTCTCTTGCATTTCTTCCGAACCATAATTATGGACTTGTTTTGATCAGTTGGGCCCTCAACTCAATTTACAACATTTCTTCAAAGAGAAGACAGGCTTTAGGCGAGCCGATTTGCCCTGTTGGCACGCACACAGCTGGATATCTCATCGACCTGGAAAACTTGATGATGATGCATATTTAATTGGATTTTCGATAACTGGTTCCTGCTTTTTGGATTCGGCTGTTTGCTGGTTGTATCAACAATCAAGGAAGTCGTCAGCAGCAAATTGGGACCCAATCACGCTGCTTGCCTTTATGATGGCTTGGTTCGTGTCTCGAGTATTCATAATCAAATGCTTTGGGCAGAATGGATCAGATCTCTGGGATTTTACTCAGTCACGTTCCATCCGTGTGGCCATGTAATTTGGACATTTCGGAACCGAGTGGACCAACACAGACTGAAGGTAGATGCCATTAAGTTCTGCCTGTCCTAAAACAACTGTGTGTTTATCTGAATTTAATAATAATAATAATAATGTCATCACAATGTCAGCACTGTATGTTTCCATACAATGGCGAAATTAGTCTCTGCATTTAACCCATCCACCACCAGGTGGTGCAGTGGGCAGCTATTGAAAGCGCCCGGGGGGCATTTTGGGGATGAGGTGTGCTGCCCAGAGACACCACGTGATGTGCAGTGACTGGGGATCGAACCTGGGACTTTCGGGTCCCAAGCCGGCTGCCCTGCCTCCACACCATCTCGGCCCCTGGCTGGCATGAAAGGCCATTTTATCTGAATTCACCTGGAGAACATGTGATCTGACGCTCACCACCCCCTCCCTGAGGAATTTCCAACTGATAACCAGATGAAACTAGCTGAATAAACTTTGTGTCATCATTTCAGGACTCTTGGATTCTCATAGTCGTTAATCTTGGCCATTCCTCGACATCCCTCGAGAATGTTTACGGATCTCACCGGAGGAAACTGGCTGATTACATCCTTATCAGAACTTTTACAGTGCCCTCGAGAGCATCTATGATCATGCTCACCGCTCTTGTTGTCACCCTCTGCAGAATGTCTACGTCACTATGTGCTTGTTTGTGCAAGGTGTTTTTTAATATCAGAGTTTTTTCTTCTCAGTCAGGAAAAAAAAAAGTCTGAAAGGAATTTTTTTTCGCCTCCAATTCCTACATGTGTCCAGTTTCACTACTTTTTGTCTGTCTAGACAGATCTCACTTGTAAATGAGTCTTCTGGGCTCAATGTGACTTATCTGTCTAAATAAAGGTTGAATGAATGAATGAATGAATGAAATCGTATCGTGACGGACTTTGCGATATCGAGAAAAATCGTATCATCATACAAACAACTCTATATAATATCATATTGTGGTAAAGCTGGTGATTTACACCTCTATTATCCACTGTGTTTACCAAAGCCGTAAACCCAGGCTTGGTCACTATAATAATGGGCATCATGTATTTCTCTATGAACTCCGTTATTGATCGAGTTATTTCCGCGTGCCGTTTTGAATTATGTTCATAAGGAGTAATACCTTCGAACAGTTCGGTCAGTGATCCCTGTCGACTGGTAGTTTGTTTACTTTAAGTCAAAGCACTGGTCATTGGAATTCTCACCATGCAACTATCGTAAATGGCTTTGTGGTGTTTTTTTTAAGTGTTGATACAGTTTTGTGGTGTTACCTCAAGAGGTAGCAACAGCAGCAAGGCAGGTTATGCACAATACATATCGTTACGCAGCGTCTTCTTTTTTATAGATGAAATAATTCCAAACAACGGACGTGTTGCCCCTCTTTGGTACCAAACTTTCAGATGTATCAGCTACTGTTGAGCCTGACTCGATTGGGCAACCAGTTAAAGCGCAGCGTTGTCTTTTACCGCTCCCTGCTCTGCTTTGCTCCGCTCACTCACAAGTCATGTGACCAGTCAAATTGCAGCCTTTGCGATTAGAAAATCTAATTTTATCATATTGCGATATTATTGCAAATGTAATTAATTGTTCAGCCCTAATTTCTGATCTAATCAAATGTGCAATCATTGAAAAGAACGTCCAAATTTATGTCAGCTGTGTTGTGGATTCACCTGGATTATGGAGTTGATCCAGACCTGCATCACCATCATCAATCTCCAGAAGAACAGGCTCAAAGCTGACACTGATGACCTGAACTCAGCCGAGTATAAATGACAAAAACGCAGCTCGTCGATGAAACTCAGAAATGAAGTCTGGGCTGTTTTCCCTGTGATGTTTGCTAATTTAGTCCACAGGTAAGAAAAAATATGTTTTCTTCAAATCTCCATCAACAGTAAAACTTTCAAACATCTGTTACCAGCTGGCTCGAGTTACTGCAAATACAAACGAGCATAAATAGTTTACTTACTATAAGGTACACCATATACAGTACACCATACAACATCCAGTCTGTAGAAAAATATTTTTTCATTACAGATTATATATTATTTGACCCTACTCTTATTTCTTCTATACTTTATTGCTCTTTCCTTTACAAAAAAATGTATCCTTTATTCATCTTTGCATCATTGAACCCTCCTGCTGCCCTTGGTTCAAAGTGACCCAGGAGGCCTCAGTTTTTACACCGAGGTCTTGTGGGTCATTTTGAACCAAGGGCAGCAAGATTTAAAAAAAAAATGTAGATAAAAAGTAAATGTTTATTAGCTTTGTTCTAAAGTCTCACATTAAATCTAGAAGACATCTTTATTCATGGATGTACTCTTGCATGCGTGTGTGTACAAGTTGTCAATTAGAGAAAACCTGATTAATTTTGTGGTTAAAAACAAAAAAATCTCCCAGGAATTACTCTCAGGAATAATATATTTGCCTTTGCTTTGTCTGCTTGTTTTGCATGCATCTATTGCACTTTTTCCTTGAACCCCTTACCCTTAAATAAACAAGAACAAACAATTATTTTGAATAATTGCTCAATTTTTTGTCTCCAAAGTGCATAAACTAAGATTACATTTTATTTACATGGTTTGTTTCTTGAAGTCAATAAACTAAACTCTTTAGTAAACCAGCAAAATAAACAATAAAGCCAACAGAAACGTAAAGGATCACTAGATATGATCTCAATTTTTTTGAGTATCAGTACAGCAGACTAAATATTTTTAGTGAAACACATAGATCTGTAGAGTCGTTATTTGAGATGGAAAAATAATACAGACAGTTCTGTGTTTGATGTTTAAAGTCAAGAAAAGGGAAACTTTTAATTCATCCATCCATCCATTATCTTTACCCGCTTATTCCATTTTGGGTCACGGGGGTCGCCGGTGCCCATGTCCAGCAATCACTGTGCGAGGGGCGGGATACACCCTGGACGGGTCGCAAGTCCATCACAGGGACACATAGAGACAAACGACATAAACAACCATTCACTTTCTCACTCACCTAAGGACAATTTAGAGTTACCAATCAGCCTAACATGCATGTTTTTGGTCTGTGGGAGGAAACCGGAGTACCTGGAGAAAACCCACGCATGCAC